CACCAACGCCAGTCACTTCAAGCGGCTAGCCCATCTTTGCCAAGGGACAGCAGGAGTGGATATAGCTGAGACTCTGGGAATCAGAATGGAGGAACCAGGGCAAAGTATCACTTCAAAGACTGGTGAAGGAGATGAGGGTGTAGGATGTGTACAGTGGATGGGTCCTGGCCCACTCACCAGTGATCGTCGAGCATTGTGTTGTGTAAAGTTGGAAAAGCCACTAGGCAGGGAGGTGCTGATAGTGGATGCTTCAACTGTATACCCACTTCCAGCTGGAGTACTACTGCAGCGAATGATTGTGCCCAGTTCAGAGGTGGATGTGAACCATTTTCCTGTGTTGGTACATAATGAGTCAGTACGAGACATGGTTCTTCCTGTGGGAACTGTGATGGGCAATTTATGCTCTGCAAATCCTGTGATGCCTGTTGTGCAGCCTCAGTGTAAGACTGGGACTGAGGTCTCATCAGCGTTTGACACTAGTCATTGATTTTGGTGACTCGCCCATTCCAGAGCGCTGGAAATCCAGACTACAGGGTAAGCTGGCTGAGAGAGCCCATGTCTTTTCTCTTCATGAGTGGGATGTGGGACTTGCGAAAGGAGTAGAACATCACATCAGGCTATCTGACACAAAACTCTTTCGAGAGAGCGCCCGCGGATATCGAGAATGTACGTAGACAGGTTCGAGATCTTCTGAAAGCTGGCGTTATCAAAGAGTCTCGTAGCCCCTACGCCTCTCCAATAGTCATAGCCAGAATGAAGAATGGTAGTGTCAGAATGTGCATAGACTATAGAACACTAAATATTCGAACAGTGCCTGACAAATACACCACTCCTCGCATTGATGATGCGCTGGATTGCCTGACAGGGAGTCGGTGGTTTTCTGTGTTAGATCTGAGGTCAGGATATTATCAGATTGCTATGGCAGAATCTGACAAGAAAAAAACTGCCTTTATTGGCCCACTCGGGTTTTACCAATTTGAAAGAATGCCGCAGGGTATCATGGGAGCCCCAGCAACATTCCAACGGCTGATGGAATGGGCTGTGGGGGATATGAACCTGCTACAGATATTAGTTTACCTGGATGATCTGAGTTTTTGGGAAGACCCTGGAAGAACATGAAGAACGGCTTCTCAAAGTTGACCGACTTGACGAGGTTGGACTTAAACTCTCTCTGGACAAGTGCCAATTTTGCCGACCAAAGATTAAATATGTGGGGCACATAATATTGGTAGACGGCATTGCTATTGATCCAGAGAAAGTAAAGGCTGTCGCTCACTGGTCACGGCCTACTGAGCTATAATCTCTGAGATCATTTTTGGGGTTCCGTGGTTATTGTCGGAGGTTTGTGGCAAATTATTTTCCGACCTCTTACAGAGCTAACCAAAGGGTATGCACCTACACAGAAAGGCAAGAGGCCAGACCAGGAAAAGAATAAGGTCTACCTGAAAGAGTCAGAGCCATTTGGAGACCGGTGGGACCAGGATTGCACTGATGCCTTCCACCGCATCATTCAGTGCCTCACTAATGCGCCAGTCCTTGCATTTTCCGACCCCAACAAGCCTTACATATTGCACACAGATGTTAGCTTGAAAGGGCTAGGTGCTGTACTGTACAGTACCAAGAACATCCAGAAGGACTCAGGCCTGTGGCCTTTGCCAGCCGGAGAGTGAGTGCTACTGAACAGTGCTATCCTGTGCACCAGTTGGAATTTTTAGCACTAAAGTGGGCGGTGGTGGATAAATTCCACGATTACCTCTATGGGGCTAAATTCACTGTCCGAACGCACAATAACCCCCCTAACCTATGTGCTAACAACAGCCAAGCTAAACGCAACTGGACATCGGTGGTTGGCTGCCTTAGCCATGTATGATTTCAATGTCCAGTACCGACCTGGCAAAGCCAATGTGGATGCTGACCTGCTAAGTATGCAAAAAAAGTGACTTGATGGGTAGGAAAGTTTGTCGGTGGTTAAGTGTAACTTCGGACTGAAGTTAACGGCTGGGGA